GAAAGGGTATAAAAGAAGAAAAACTAATGACATGGCCTCCTTGTTCACCTGATCTGAACCCCATTGAGAACCTGTGGTCCATCATCAAATGTGAGATTTACAAGGAGGGAAAACAGTACACCTCTCTGAACAGTGTCTGGGAGGCTGTGGTTGCTGCTGCACACAATGTTGATGGTGAACAGATCAAAACACTGACAGAATCCATGGATGGCAGGCTTTTGAGTGTCCTTGCAAAGAAAGGTGGCTATATTGGTCGCTGATTTGTTTTTGTTTTGTTTTTGAATGTCAGAAATGTATATTTGTGAATGTGGAGATGTTATATTGGTTTCACTGGTAAAAATAAATAATTGAAATGGGTATATATTTGTTTCTTGTTAAGTTGCCTAATAATTATGCACAGTAATAGTCACCTGCACACACAGATATCCCCTTAAAATAGCTAAAACTAAAAACAAACTAAAAACTACTTCCAAAAACATTCAGCTTTGATAGTTTTTTGGGTTCATTGAGAACATGGTTGTTGTTCAATAATAAAATTATTCCTCAAAAATACAACTTGCCTAATAATTCTGCACTCCCTGTATTTATTTTTTTGTGCAGGTCTGTATGACTGATTTTAATATGCTTAGATTAAGTGTCCAGTTTCAGGTTTAAAAATACTCTGTAACATCTTTTTGGTTGTTTTTAAATTGTGTCTGATAAGCTTAATCACTAAAGCTGTTCCCACACATGCCCTTTAGCTGTGAACTCTTCTCAACGTAGTGGAGCTGCAAGCAGGAATGTAAATGTCCAATTCAGATTGAAGATTAAACAGTCTTTAACCTGCCAGCTCGCTAGTAAAAAGTGTAACGGTCTGGAAAATTCACAGTGAGCGAGCAGGTGCCAAATGTCCTGCTTCCTGCATGCTCGACCCAAGAAGCATCCTCACATCAACCAAACAGAGTAGAATATGGTGAAAAAGTCTTTAACAAGTCCTCGTTGCTTTATATTTTTCTATGAAAATGAGAAACAGGTGCAAAGATTCATTTAAATGTGCAAACATACATGAAAATACAGTATAAAAGGCAAAAACTACTTTGTACAATTCTAACTTTACACAGCCTGAACTCTCTTGGAAGGAAATACAAAGCTCTTTGTTACATTCTCTGTCAAGATGATGCTGAGGTCCGGGCTCTGGGGAAGCCAGTCCATGACTGATAGTCTTCCATTATGTGTTTTTCTGTCCAGGTATGCTTTTACTGCACTGGCAGTGAGTTACAGCATTGCCATGCCGAAAAATGAAGCCGTTGCCAGTTAGATGCTTTCCAGATGGTATTGTGTGTCAAGATGCGTCTTAATGATAACTTTTGTTGCTTGCAAAACTCCAGCGGGCACCATTAATTATTATCACATCTGTAGGACTTCAAGTTGCAGCAGAGCATTTTGTGTTTTCCATTTCTTAGAATTATGAACTTAGTGTTTCTTCTCCCACTAAAGATAATTAGGCCTTGTTGGTTTGGAAACTAACTAAGCAAAACTAAATTAGATGAAAATGAAAGATTAAATTAAGTTATCTTTGTTAAGCTTTTGCAAACATTAGCAAATTGGACCCTCGCTAGTCCGAATAATGTGTGATCTGCAGTTTCTTACTGCTGGCATGTTCCATGCACTTACTGCTGAATACAACACAATGTGATGCATCTAAATTTGAAGCTTTTACTGAAATTGACTTGATTTGATTTCTTAGGCGCCTTTATTTAAGATGTTTACTTACAGATTAAATATACTGTTGCACATATGACACTTTATACAGCTGTACATAACATGTCAGGCAGTCATAATAATTACACATATAAGATGCAATCTGTAATTCAACCTTAGCAGCACACCAGTCTTGGTTAAATAACAAGATTTAAAAAAAAATGTGTAAAAGCTGCATCTATCATGTAAGGCAAAAATTGTTATTCTCCATTCAAAGCATGCAAGGAGGTAGATAGAAACGATTAGACAGGCTCTTTATAACATACCATTTGCAGTATATAAGACATCATCTTTTTCCATGTAATGAACTTGTATGGGATGTAGTTAAGAATTAGAGGGATATAACCTGACACTTCTGACCCGCTGTGGTGTGTTCAAAGCTTTGTCTGTCTCCTGTTTCCCTTCAACCAGCACATCTTTTATCTCAGACCTGTCAGTCCACTGATGTCTTACTTTGTGAAGCCCCGGCCCTAAATCCCACATCATTAATGTCACATTGCCCATTCCTAAATATCTTTTCTAAGTATATGAATAGTTACTGTTTGTAAAGTATCAAGTGGCTTTCACGAACGCAAACTGAAAATTACGTTGTAATGACAGTGATTTTAGCTCACGCTTTGGGCCAAACGATTTGAAAAAGCAGGTCGTAGCTGTACAAGGATATGTGTCACTGTTAGAACATTAGGATGCTCATTATGTAAGCTCAAGAGACGGTTATTTGCTTTTGTGGCTGTAAGCCTGGTGTTGTCTGCATAAAGAACGAGTGTGTGTTTATGCGATTGTGTATGCAGCTGTTGCAGTAACTGTGATAGGAGCTGAAGATCATTAATTATGGGTGTTTCCCTACTTTCCTCCAGGACTGATAGTAGCCTATGCTAGAGAGATACTGGTTCAATGGAGTAAATGCCATTAGCACTTTGTTTAGCTAGTACCCTGGGGTCTTGTTTCTAAGCCTTTTTTCTTTCAAGTGGCAGCCTTGCGTGAAGCTCCCTTACACTGAGCCTATTTCTCAGACCCTTATTCCCCCCCATGGAATTCAGCACCAGTGTGTCCAAATTGAGAAGGGAAGACAATGAAGGGCAAGGAATAGAAGGAAGGCTTCATGCGTGCGCATTTAGCACCTGTATCAGTGCACATCACCATGTGGCATTTAGACAGGCAGGACAAGTGAGAAGGAGCATTAAGCCAACAACCCGGATGAAACAAACAGCATGGCTAGTATCAGGGAGGGACGAGCGGTTAGTGCATGGCGAAGGATACACTGAGACTCCCAAAGCAGTGTTAGGGAGGAGTGGCGATGTGCTCATTAGCATTGAAGCCTGGGTAGAGGTAGAACTGACTCTGCTGCTGGGGCACGCTCTGCCTAGAGAGGCCCACACAGGAAGCTGCTCCTCTAACATGAAAGGCAAGCAACAGTCTGAAACTCCTCGTGATTTTTCAGCATGAATTTGTTTTCTCCCCCTTCTTTTTCACCATTTTGTACTCCTCCTCCTAATGATACCCCGTATCCGCTCTCTAAATCATCTCATCCCAAACCTCTTCACTAATCATGTAAGTTGGAGAGGAATAAATGCTTAACAGATGCTAGTATTGTCAGGGGTTGGTTACATGCAACTGCATTTTTTACAGCTCAGTGGAAGTGAATATTTTGAAGTGGTTTACCTAAGATGACTCCTTCCTCTGCTCAGTTTAACCCCCATCGCGTATGCACCACTGTCTGTTGGTGTGTGCAGAGACCAAAAATCCTCTCACCGTCTCACAAGGGTCAAACAAATGATGGAGAGAAACACCAGTGTGGTAATTACAGCTGTGAACAGACAGCTGTGGGTAGTTTAATTTGCTCATATTGCAGTTTCCGGCATTTTTATATCCCTGATTAGATTGCATTAGGAAGTTATGCGGAAAAATGAATGTGCTACATGATGAGTTCGGTTCCAAAATGAGGTACGCAGTAATTTAAATATGGACACCCACTCTCCATATGGTCTAATGGCAGTTTTTTTTTTTAGCTGGTATTAACATTTCGTGAAATATTATGCTTTTCTGAGTCAAAGTGTTTTCCAGAAGTGCACTGATATATCTTTTATTTCTTTTTTTTTAAGTAATCATTTTTGTAATAAAACCCTTCTTCCATGTAATTACACTGAGTTCTAAATTAATTCTGATATCTGATGGCACGGAGGATAGGGGAGATAGTGAAAGATATTTTCCAAGATTACTAGTTCTGTGGCATACCATCAGTATTTTGCAGATGGTCATTACTGCTGCCTGTCTGATTGAAATTTGACGTATTTTATTCGGTTACTGCTTCTGCCACAGCTAACGTACAATACCTCCCCAACCTTTCTAAGTAGCTTCAGTTCAATTCAGGTGCATTTATATAGCACCCAATCACAACAACAGTTGCCTCAAGGCACTTTATATTGTAAGGTAAAGACCCTAAAATCAAAAACGAAGATAGTTCTTCCCTGAGAGGTCTTTTAAGAAAATTCTGCAAGTAACTCAATCAATCACTGGCCCAAACAAAATCATACAAATTTTGTGCAATAGTACTGTTAGGCCTGTATGTGTTTTTGGCAGACTGATGAGCCTAATCACACTAAGCAAAGTAACAAAAAAGCAATAACAAAAAAAAGAGAACACAGGCGATAGATGTTGTTTATATGCTTAAAGTGGGTCATTTTACACTGTTGCTAGGTCGTTGCTAGGTAGCAGGATGGCATCATAATACATCATGCATAATTCAACATTTGTGGACTTAAATGAAATGTTGTTTTGGTGAAACAAAAATGATATGATGCTTTTATAAAGTGTTACAGTTGCATAAATGTTCAAAATACATGATTGAAGCCTGTTGCCGAGTGGTTATTTAGCGACACAATGTTGTCACAACTTCTGATATAGATAAGAACCTTTATGGGCCTACCTGTGTGCCAAGTTTGGTTGCTCACCCCTGTGACTTAGAGAGAAACAAAGTGCTACTACTGCCAGTCCCCAATAATTAATAGGCAGCTTTTAAAATGCTAAGCCAAGGGGAATGCTATAAAAGTAGTGTCACTTCTTTTTGCAATTCTTTTACCTGTCTCTAGTTATTTGTGTGCTTGGTGCAGTGTAAATGTGTGCACAAAGCTTTGGAATAGCCTTGTTATAAGTGAGACAACCTTTTAATCAATACACCATCTACTTCACTAAACTACTCATTCCTTCAGAAACGACCAGAATGCTAACACACTTTGTGCTTTCCCCCCCCCCCCAAACAGCACCTCCTACGGTCCGCATTATACACTCGGGGCACGCCTGTAATGTTGAAGAGGAGAGGCACACCGAGAGAGTCTACACCATACGAGAAGGGGAGACCCTGGAGCTCACCTGTCTGGTGACAGGTCATCCTCGACCGCAGGTAGGAAAGTCAGCGCCTTTTCATCTGCCCTTAACCGACAGCATGGGAAAGAAAAGATAGTTGCACATGCAAATCATGGGGCAGTTTGTTAATTTGTACCATATCTCTGTATCCATCTCTCCTCTCTGCAGAAAGCTCCCTTTTAAATCTGTATTAGCATCAAAGCTGCACACCACATAAGTCTGCACTAAATCAGCTTAAAAGTTTAATCCTTTAATTATTAATGGTTTCGTTTGCTTTGTGCACCTGTATGCTGATAATTACAGCTTCCAAGTAAAATGAGATTGCAGAAAACAGCAAAAACATCTGCCAAACGAGTGAGAAACAGGCCACAGTTAAAAGACTCTGGGTCATGTGAATGCACATGGGTTCTCAACATCTGAGAGCAAGGCTTCCTCACATTCTTATTTACTGTTGTGATGTGAACTAATTAAAAAACTTTACACCTTTTTTCTCTGATGAAAATAAGCTTATAATTAGTTTGTTTTTTTTTGTGCTCACTATGTATTGTTTGTAGTATTCAAATCTAGAAATATACAATTAAAAGTTTAAAAAAGTAAGCAGATGGCAAAAATAAGGTCTCATCTGCTCTTTTAGACTAAATGTGAGCTATTATGAGCCACATAGATACATAAAACAGGTTTGCTATGAATTACTTGACCATGACATTTTGTTCTTATTAACCCAGTAGGTCACCCTAACCTTTATTGTCTTTTTATTACATGTTGCTTCTGATTTGAACAAAGACTTTTGCAGCTGATCAAACCCACATATGTGCAATAAGGCTGCTATATGTGCAATTCTTTTTCTGACAAAGTTGTATTTTCTTACTCAGTTGTATATAGCATTTGTATTCTATTTTATTCTATTGTATATATTATTCTATTTTATTCTATTTTATTGCATTCCAGTGTTTTCTAGTTTCTGCTACATAAATTTGCACTTTTGCTGCAACAAAACAAATTTCCCACCTGTGGGACTAATAAAGGTCATCTTTTATCTTATCTTATTTGCTCAGTAACAAACATTATACAGAATCTCCAGAAACTCTGGACGGCAAAACCAAAACGCATATGGTTTTTTTATGTTTCAACTGAAAAGGTGAGGCTCCTTGAATAAGACTGTTTCAGGCACACTGTTCGTCTCTTTCCGTCCCCGGGAGGGGGTCACAACTTTGCACTCATCATCTCTGTCTTTCCTCTTAATTAGAATTTTTGAAAAACAGAGCAGAGCGAGGGAGTGGGTGGGAGTGTAGCGCGAGATCAAAAGCTATGCAGGGCTGTGGCAGGAAAGGCAGGATCTCCTTTGAAACAGAGTCATTATGAGACTCATGCAGATCCCCTGGCACAGTGGGTCTCGGCTGTGTCTCTCTGGACTTTGGGATGTGTCAGCTTTGTCCCCCCTCTGGTAGTGGCATGGGACTGGGGACAGAGCACACTCATTCTGAGTGGTTTAGGAGGCTGAGGTGGTTATCTGGAATGGCAGTAGACCTAAGGCTGGTTTTGTGATGTTGCAAGAAAAACCAAAAGGTGTGTGACCTCATCGGAAACACACTTGCAAGTTAATACGGCAGTAACAGCCCATCTTTTCTTTAGAATTAAATATTAATCCTTGTTCTGAGCCTTTCTTTGCCCCAAAGTTCCACATTTTAATTGAGCTGAGTTTCTCAATCTTCCAAGACCAATGCAGGGGAAAATAATCAGTACTTGCAAAGGTTGTACTTTTTTGTGTCCTGTCTTGATACTTTACAAGTGTGCAAGTTCGGACAGACAACCAGTGCGAACAGTTCTTTATGTGTGTGTGAGTTTGCTTTCTGTGTCTTTTGTATGTACTTCTCTGTGATACTAGCAGATATTTTCTATACATATTTCCATGTTTAACTCTCACATGATTTACTGTATATCATATAAATGATCTTGTTTTTTATGAAACATGATGATAGGTATGATACATACAGTAAATTATTAATATATATAAAATACGTAGCTTATAACAGGTGAATAAATTGAAATTATGCATTAATACAGTTAGTTTCCCTGGCTACTATAATCTCTTGACTGAACTCTGTAATCTTGTCAACTGCCTACAGTACTTTATATTAACCAAAACATCATAACCATAGAGTATAGCAAGACATAACTTGTTTTACTTTACTAAATTATATAGGGTAGGCCTGAGAGAAAGACAAAAATCACATTTTGTGTTTTTCTCAGACTTCAGAATTCATATAACATTATTTAAAAAGTATTGGTAGCCACAGTTTACTTGCAAGTTAGCACTGATAAGTCAGATATGCCCTCTATATCTATACCAAGATCTCAGTTGCACAGGCCCAGGAACGGGTCAATGTCTTTAGGCCTCTGACAAATGCATATTTCCAGCAGTTGTCAGAGGCTGCTAGAAGTCAAAGGTGAAATTGATTGCTGAGAGGATGTCGCATCAAACTGCAGCTTTGGCTGCTACCAGAAACTTGCTAGCTACCAAGTGGTAGCAAAACTTAAAACGCTGACACTAAAACAGGAAACGGAGAACAGTTTCCTTCAAAGTAAAACTGATGGCTCACCGCTGCAGCCAACACATTTCAAGAGGTGCAGCTTTTCCTTTCAAGGCAAATGTTCGGCATTTCCAGTTTGCATTTTTCAAACCAGTTGGTTTCTCCGATGCTAACTTTGGGTGACCAAAGCATTCCTTCCATATAGCAGCTTGAATCAAGGGTGATGATATCACATAGACTCATGGCACATCTCTAGCATAGTAAAATCCTCAATTAGTTCTGCAATAGCAAATCACAAAATTGCCTTTTTCAATGTTAATGTTCAGATTGCAGTCTCTTTCTTTGACTTTGACTGGTGCTGGGTTAATGCATACACTGAGGGGTGTTGTGCCAAGTATAGCGCCACAAAGGACCAACTGCAGAGTAAATGGGTCCGTGGTTGGCTATTTTGCCACCGTTAATTCTTCACATGTCTATCAATATGCACACTTCTTAAATTACAGAGACACCCCTATAGGCCTTCTCACTGGTGGGAGTCTCTGGATTGTGTCCAAACAGGCAGCATCCTCCTTGTAGCCGTTCTCCTTGTCAGCCCTGTGCCTATCCGCCCACCCACCTCAGAAAGAAAAACAAGGGCTTTCTAATAATAAAGTCATACATGCATCCAGCCAATACAGGCACACATACAAACACACTTGTAGCAGCAGCAAGACTTCTCTGCCTTTCCATTTAATTGTCAAATAAATATATGTTCCTGTCAGTCAACTCCACACCATATGTGTTTTTTCATTGCTGACTTGTGGGTTAGGCATTTCAAGGTGTTACCCTGGGCTATGCAGAAAGACTGGGACTATTTGTATCTGGAGGGATCAGGGACCAATTAAATCTAATTCTGTGGGATGTATAGTACAGATGTCGCTAGAAGGATTTTCAGATCTTAGCTCTGTGAGGAAAAGAATAAGACATTTCTCAACACTAAAATATGCTCTGTTGTCTCATACTGTTTCAAATACTACTTGAAACGGCCTAAAATACTGGTTATAAGCAACATCTGATGCTTTGGTCATAATAACGTCTTATGTTCGGGTATATTCAACAGCTTATGATTCAGAAATTGCAAATAAGCAGTGCCCTGTTTTGCACCAAACAATGCCCCATCTAATAAACCTCTTGACTATGAGGGGAAAACCCTCGCTCAGTACAGTCACAGACATCTCAGGGTGTGATCATGAAGGTCAGCCAGCAAAATTCGCCCCCTTAGTGATGTTGCTGACTTTTCTGTCTTTAGCTACAAGTGGCTTGGCTGTCCTCCAAAGCGTGTCTTTTGTCCCGTTTCCTTTCCCTCACCCACAGCCGATCACAGCAGATGGCTGCCCCTCCCTGAGCCTGGTTCTGCCAGAGGTTTCTGCTTGTTAAAAGGGAGTTTTTCCTTCCCACTGTCACCAAGGGGGACATAAGAGGTTGTTGATTGTGGGGGTTTTCTCTATAGTATTTTAGGATCTGTTGTTGGTGTTGTTATTTGACTCTAAATAAATACATTTAAATTGAATTGGCTGTTTAACTAAATATTTTACTAAAACTGTAATTCAAAGAGTGCACACAATTTGACATCTCCAAGTTAATAATTTATAGAAAATTTAAAAAGATAAGAATCATGAAATCTGGTGAGTCTAGAAGTCCTGAAATTTATATTTTTGCATCTTTACCAAATTTATAAAAAAGGATGACAAATATCAAATGGCTTGAAAAAATCCTCATTGATGCAGTGCCTCCCCTGCTACAGGACTAACATCTCTGTGTATTGCAGCAGTCCATTAATCATTTGCTCAAGGAAAAGAACTTAATTGGTTTTAGTTTGGTAAGAAGTCATTTATTAAGCGATATTAACAAACAGCTGGCTAAAGCTTTTAATTGCAAAGATGTGCAGTTGTTCAGTGTTTTGAAGAATGTAAAACATATTTATATGTAAATCTAATGTAAAAAATGTCCTCTGGGTTTCTATAAAACTGTACACATTTTTTTAATATTTTCTTACATTTTACAAATTATTTTTTTTAGAGAATTGCACATCGATAGATGACTCAAAGCTGGAAAGAAAAATAGATTTGTTCATTCCTTTTTAAAAAACAGTGTTTCATAAGTCTTATTTGCTTCCTTAATCATATTATTTGTCTTTCTTTGACAGTTTGGGTGTTTTTGACTCTGTCAGACCACCACATAAATATAAACAGCTTTTCCTGTTCATACTTTCATGGTCACTGTTCTCCAGATCTATTCATTGTCTTTGATGCTATGAACAGACATCAAAGAGTCCCTGATGATGAAGCCATCTGCCCCCATCTCCTCTGCCCTGGCCTCCATCCATTATGTCCACAGTACTTTGTTTGAGTACCAAGCTCCAATAGCCAGCAAAACCACATCGCAAACACCTTTTTTTGTGTGTGTTTCAATTATTGGCCAGCCAGATTCAACTCACAGCACCACGGGTCAGCAAGTACAAATAAGCTGACCTCAGGCCCTAGGATATTTCGCTTTATACAGACCGCTTGGAGTATGTGATCTGTTTTGGATGCTCCCATGACAGTTAGCCTACAGTGCCAGTGTCTTTAGCAGATGGTGCTTTTTTTGAGCATGATGTAACCTTCTATTTTTCCACTGTTTGCCATACAAACTGCAGTATCAAAAGGGGATCTGTCTGATAGCTTTCCCTTAATCTGCACCCTATCCAACCCACCTATAGTCTTAAAAGTGAATTTAATAGCACCAGTCAAGCATACACTATGCAGTTCAACAAACAAAAAGCAGATGTAGTTTCATTTTCGTGTATGTCACTGTCTTGTGCTTGTCCTCTTTGATTCAGGTTCTGACATCAAAACTGTCACTGCGATGCGTTTCATACAGTATGATCATCCAATTTTTATGAAGGCCAGTATTTTCTAATATAGACCTGCTGTGTAAGTGCACTCTCAATTTGTAGACCCCCTGCTGCTTTTTCTGATCACTTGATTGTCATGCTCAGCCACACTTGTCTGCACCACTGTGCAGCGCGGACCAATGTCACTGCCTAAAAGAAAAGATGGCTGGCAATTAGAAACTAGTCTCGAGTTCGGTAGAGGGAAACGTCACAGCAGGCAATATGGCAGATTCACCAAAGATGCGTGCTCCAGCATATGATCACTGCATAACAACAGACACTGGGTGCATTTTAATTAGCTCGTGCTGTGACATCTCAGCATGTGTGGTCTCAGACACTGCTGGGATATTCAGTTGGATATTAATCTATACAAGCTTCTGCTTTCCATGTAAGCAAATACTGTAATTCCTGCTAGGGTTGTCTGATTTAAGGAAAACAAAAAAAGCGTTATTGTTGTGTTTGACTTCGCTTTGTCATGGTGCTTTCACAAAATGTGAAATAAAGCAGTTTTTTTAATCAGAAGGCACAGACAGGAATAATATTCTGCTAGAACACTGTTACTAGCTGGTACACCACGGGTAGTTTGGCACATTCCCTTCTGTATACTTGTAGGTACTTTACGAGTTTTGTTTGACATAGTCCTTGAAGAGAACAGAAAAAAAACCCAGCTAGGCTTTCAGTGGGCTGGGAGGAACAATTATCATATTGCTCAAATCTGCCAGCGCCTCTCAGATCAAGAGTATTTGCATTGCACTGAGGAGAGTGAAGAGGGTCAAACTGTTCTCACCGGGTATACTTCAGGACGCCCCTTGTGGGCAGAGGTAAAAAAGTCAGAAGAGTGCCGGAATGAAAATAGCCTGAGGGTACAGAAGGAGTTGAAAGCTCACCAATAATGTGGTCTGCTGCAATTTCCCTTTTTTGAAAATATAAAGAGTTATTTGAATACCCACTTCTTAGTGTCACTCTAACAATGCATTTATTGATACTGCATTTTCTGAAAACTCAAAGCTCTTTACACAAAAGCCAAAGAAAATGACTGGGGGTATAAGCTGGGTGAATATTGAATTCTGCTGAGGTCGCCGTAAGCCAGCTCGCTTTGTATTTGCATGAGGGAATCCAGAGCACTGTAGTGACACAGTATTCAGAAAATCTGCTCCCATCTAATTTATGCTCATAAGTTATTTAACTTTAGCGCTTGTTGTGCTGAACTCATGATGTCCCTAACTGTTAGAACAGGGCCCCAGATTTTCCGACGGTGTGGCTTTTGCATCTATCAGCTGCTGAGTTTGGGCTTTTTCATCAAGTGCTTTCTCTCAGTGTCTCTCAATGCATTTTAAACAGGCCAAGTGGAGCCTTTTGTATGCCGGGTGCTAATTTAGAGGCTTTTATTTTTAATGGTAGTATGGCCTCTGTGTAAAGGGATGGTATATAAGCACAGTCTGACAGCAGAATCTTTTTTTCTTTTCGGGGGAAGAGGTTGTTGAAAAGAATTAGTAACTTACACACACTCTCTGTATATGAATTTTAAAGGTATCTAATTTATTTCTACCTCTCTGAAAAGTAACACCTCAAGCAAGACAGAGAATCTGAAACTGATAAGCTTCAATTTTTTGCTTCATGTCATCCTCTACCCCCAAGGTCCAAAAACGCCTCTGAAATAGGTTAACATTATCAGGTTTTGGGCCACCCACCCTTCCCTTTCCTTTCTCGTATCTGTTTGGAAAATGACCAAACTTCATACTGTCGTAACCTTGGGATGGAGTCGTCATGGTTAAAACCCTACAGCTAGAGCAGCGCTGCAGCAATCTCTGTGATAGCACCCAATCCCTATCCCTGCATGCAATGATATCCCTGTTCCATCTGATGCTATCGCTGCAAAATGGGATGTTATCAGTATCCAAGATGATGCTATCACCATACAGTGTGGAGATATTGGATTCTAATTCATAGCCTCCCCTGCCTAGACAGAGATATGTAAGGCTCTGCAGGCAAAGCCAGTCCATCTGTAGCTTACTTAGGATGAGGGATTGAATGGCGCTTTATGCTTCACGGTTCTGGTTGTGTGGCCCCCGGGCCAGAGTTGTCACAGTACCTGTTCATGCTGTATGCTTTAATGAGGACAGGAGAGGGAGATGATGGAGAGTCAATTACAACCTCATGTTGGAGAGTAACACTATTTCACCTTTCATTACACCTCAATGCCATGGGCTAACTGGGTCTCATCAGTTCGTGAAAGGTACTCATGCTGAGAAGGCCATGCTGAGGTCAGTCTTGTGTGGAACAGAGGAAAGTGAGTTAGATGAAGATTTTAGGTACCAAATCAACACTGTGCGCTTCATAAAAGAACCTTTCAGCTGCTTCGAGAAGGAATGTTCCCGCATAAAATGAATGCAAGATCATGTGGCAAACATGCAGGTCATCATAGCTGCCGGAGAATTTGATTTACATCATCTGCAGGGAGAGCAAGGGCAGCAGATACAGACAGACCTTCATTTCTATTTTCTATTTTACTTATTTTTATAGATGTTGTTTGGTAATTTGTTTTTAAATATTATATATTATGTCTACTGCACAGACTACATTGATTAGATTTGAAGATCAATATTGCTCAGATATTCTATTCAATTTTATTTATATGGCACCAAATCACAACAAAGGTCGCCTCAAGGCGCTTAAAATCTATTCTATTCATCTATCTATTCATAAAACATGGATTCGGACAGTGGAGGGATTATGCTTAGTTTAGCACTAAACATATACACTGGGGAAAAAGCTACATGTATAGGTGGGCTCTGTGGATTAGTGACAAAAATTGTTTATGGATACCTCTAAATATCACTTCTTAACACAGTATTATTTGTTTGATTTGTGCACAAGTATGTTACATTGTAAATGATGCAGACTACAGTCACTTGTTGCAGTTTACAGTTTTTTTCTTGCAGTCTCACAACAACAAGGCTATGAAGTCTTTAACCTGATCATAGTTGTTGATGTTTGCCATCTTCCTAAAACGATTCACTGCATTCTTTAACAGATTTAGTGAATCATTTCAACAGATTTTTCTTTCCCATCCAGTTTATGGTTTCTTTTTCCTTTTGCTGTTAATCTTTTGGCAATGAAATGCCACTGTGAATGTTTCACATCAAAAGCCTTATTGTAGCTCTATTTTCCAGTAGCCGCTTCACAGGGAAAAAATTGAGGAAGTGTTGAGTTCCTCTATTGTGATCAAAAGCTTTATTGTGATCAAAAGAAAACAGAATAAAAACAGTAATTTTGTTCCAATCAGAATAAAATTTTTCTTTAAATGGACGTTTTCTTGAGATTGCAACAGCTTCAGAGTTTTTACCAAGTCTGTTTTACCTGCCCTTTTTTGTTTATGTTGGCTGTGGTATTTATTCTATACTTACACTGTATATTAGCTTCTTAACTGAGTCTGTTCTGTGTCTCTTCTGTCAAGTCGTTGAAACGCGTAGTAATTTTCACTGTTTCTTCTTTGTAGATACGGTGGACAAAGACAGCTGGTAGTGTGTCAGATCGTTTTCAGGACTCCAGCGTCTTCAACGAAACGTTGCACATCGCAAAGATCCAGAGGACCCAGGGAGGCCGCTACTACTGCAAGGCTGAGAACGGCCTTGGATCTCCTGCCATCAAGTCCATTAGGGTGGACGTCTACTGTAAGTGTGATGAATTTGAGTCAGCACATTTTCCAACATTGCCCAAAAACAATTGCCCATTGTTGCTTTACAGTAATAAGGTTGTGGTTGTTTTGTTCACGGACTTTGTATTTTTTCTTGTGAGTTTAGCCTCTTTCTGTGTGTGTGTTTTTGTGTGTGGTTGTTATTATGTTTTTCTTCCTGGTTTCAAAGAAGTCCAAGTGCGGCAGACTGCAAATGGTAAATTGCCCAGAGGTGTGACTATCAGAGACTGTATCTGTGTTACCTTGCTAAGGATTGACCAATAGACCCTTATTCTTCCATCTAATTCTATTTTGGCAAGATTCCAGACAGCCATGACCCTGAAAATGTTTCTGTTCACAGTCCTGATTTTGCAGCAATGCCAGCCTCGTAGTGGTGTAGTAAAACATACAACTAAAGAACCTTTTGCTTGTCTGGAACAGCATATATGTATGCTTTAGAATTGAATCAGTTTATTATCCTGCAAAGAAATTAGAATGTAAAATGAAACAGGTGTTGCAGTATTAATTTATAAGGCAAAATGTTAACACAGACAGCTGGTGAACAGATGAAACGATACAAAGATGCATAGCCCAAAAATAGCAATGTTCCATATTTCTGTTGTGAATAAAAAGTAGTTATTATGATGTAGTGCATAAGAACAGAACTTCTTCTTCCTCTCCTGAGAATGTTACTTAGATGTAAAGTCAGTCATTGTACATGCAGATTCTTTATTTTAAAAGCAGCTGCATGACAAATGCGAAAAGTTCATTAGCATTCATTAAGCAAACATAACAAACTTAACTTTATTGCTTTTATTGATTTGTCAGTGATTATCCTATTTCACTTCATGATGAGGAATAGCAGCCACTGCCCTCCATCAGACACCCTCCAGCCTACTTATTTGTGCAAAGATAGCCAAATCTGGACTTTATGTTCAATAAGAAATCTGTAGTCATGCCATAATTAAGAGCTTGTCTTACTGTTTGAGCTTCATGAAATTCTACTGAGATACATTTAAAATGACTTGCTTAGTGCCTTTGAAAGATCTCCAAGCTGCCTCACTGATTTCAGCAGCTCTCAGTCCCTTGCTCTCCTTTTTATATGCCAGACTGCAAGGAAAAAAATGTTGTATCTTTGAAAATAAATGACCCCAGTGTCCTTAATTTGTTTCCAAATATCATTTTCAATCACAGAGGAAAGAAAAAGGTAGTGATGCTCTTGATTAGTTTCCAGCAACACCTACAATAATTCCAGGCACTTTTTCACGAGTTAGGATTTATACTCCTGCAGTTCCCTGCATTGATGACAGTGATTTGAGGCAGTATATTTACAGTAAAAATTCTTTTTTTTATGTGTCAACATTATACGAGTGCTTGATTTAATTTGCGTTAGCAGGGAACATTTCATTGAAAATGACTTCATAGCTACTTGATTATGTCTTTTTTGTGCTGTGCTTTACAGAGTAGCCTTCTTGTAGTCTGCCTCATGACTTTAGAAAAGCTCAGGCTGGCATGCACTGGTAAAACATTGGGATGTTAACAATGCATACATTTGCCATAGTTCGGTTAGTAAAACAGTTTGAAAATCATTTGTGATAAATAATCCTGTCCAAGTTTGTTTATAACGTTGGAACTGACTTTTATTGTGAAGTACAAAGTAATTGGCATTTCTAAGCACTCAGTCTCAAGGACACGTAATGCCCTTCATTGCAGTTTGTTGTTCCATACAGTGCAGAAAACCTCTTATCCCCTAAAAAACAAACAAAACAAAACAAAACCCTAGCACAGTAGCAACAAGAGTCACCCAAGAAGGAAAATCCTAACTTGTCTACAAATGCTCACCATTTACTCCCCATTCTGTTGTGATTGTTGAATAAGTGTAATACATGTCAGAATGAGAGCATGATAGCCTTCAAAGTAAGAGTTGTGCATTATCGCTACAACCAACGCAGCCAAGTCAAACGATGCAGCTTTTACTTTGAAGGCAAATCCTCTCTTTTAACAGTTTTGCTACTACTTGGCAAGCAGTTTGCGGGTGATCGCAGACATCTCAAGTCGATGTCTTCCATGCAAACTACTGGCAACAGCAGCAACCTACTAGCTACCAAAGCAATCACAAGGAGGTTTGTGGTGCAGCACTGTATACCTATTTGCAGCCAATTCCATGCTAGCAACTCCTGTCAACCTACCTACAGCAACCAACTTGCCAACCAATTGCAGAATACACACTTTCCCCTAGTAACCAGTGTTTCCCAGGGTGGTCACTGACTGGTCTGTAGGTCTGCATGAATGAGGCTGTTGGAATCAGTTTCACAGTGACTGCCAGAAACAAGCATCAAACACTCACAACCAGTTGAGGAATACACTCTAGGACAGTCTTTCATGTCCCAAATGGAGCCAAATGTTGCTCAGTGCTATTGGTATTAAATAGTGTCTCATAATTTTCTGTTGACTAACAGTTACCCTCAGAAAACAATGTTAATGATGAATATACATTTTTATGGTAATACCGCGTGTCTAAAACAGTTTCACTGATGCTCTCCATTTAGCGTGCATGCTCTGAGGCCCCAAATCCACAAAAAGTGTTGCTCATTTTTCAACTTATGAAAGAAGCATAATTTCTTCGAAGTATGCATGACTGAACAATGAATAAATGAGGCACCATCTTGTGTGATCCAGTTCCCCTTTATATACCCTCTCTTTCTCTCTCCCTCTCTGTGCTTTCTTCTCATGTCCCCCACATAAATACAGAGTACATTGTTAACTTGCTCTCCTTTTCACTCTTCTTTCATGTCTCTGTCTTATTCCCTTTCAGCATGTGGGCTACATTCTTGTACTTGTTTATTTGGACTGACACTGGCAAAAGTTGTGGAATTGAAACTTGTTTAGAAAGCTTGTGGAAGGGCTTAGTGGTGCAGGAGGATGGGGCTGAATGCATCTCAGCTGCTGACAGTTAGAACCGTGTTCCTTCTGTGTACTATTTCACCTTGGCTGCACTAAAGAGGTGCAGGATAAGACGTGGAAATGAAGCCCGAGACAGACTGGAGACACAACCTTAGCATAATAGAAAGGCATGGCTTCTCATCCAGCTTCATCATACGGTATTTTGCAGCCTTAGTTCTCTTGCTGTTGAAAGCAAACTGATGATTGTCATTGGTGAATGATAGCGATGTAAATGAAATAAGCTGGCTACTGTGAATAAGTATGCATAGTTTAATATATAGACAACGTCCATTGGTTACAGTAATTTGGTAATTTATACAACACACACACACACACACACGGAATATTCCATGCATATTTTAGATCATGGCATTTGTTTGCTGTCCTTGTAATCTCCTTGCATCTGGCCTTGTAACACAGCATGTTTGTATTTCACAAGAAATGTGTTATGTTGCGCATCCAGTAAAAGCACATCATTTCTACAGAGCCACGTTATAGCTGTCCCCTGGGGGTGAATTTAATTTGTTGCCCTCTGCAGTACACGCTGCTTTTAGTGGTTTGCAGCTACAATTTCTGATTAGTATTAAAATAGATATTGTGGCTCCGGACCTCACAACAATAAAGCCATGAATTATATTTGCTTTCTGTTTCAGCTGCATCTTACATGTCTGTCTTCATACTCGTTTGTTTACATCTGACAAATAACACCAGCAATAATGGACTATATCACTTCTGTTGTAAAGGAAAGATAGTATTCATGACGAGACACGGGCCCCAGCATGGTTTACAATGAGAGGCTTAAAACCTGAATGATCTTTCTGCAGCTGATTCCTTTTTACTCTTTTCTTCTGAGTCTATTTATTTAGCTTCTGCTGGTTGGAATCAAGGGTCCTGTTTTCAATTTTCAAAAGAAGCACTCGAAATCTTATATTATATGTGTATCTTTATTAGATCAGTGAGCATGCTTCCCTCCTCTGTACACACAGCCTCACCCTGTTGTGCTTTCTTTCAATAAATTTCAATTTAAACAAAAACATTAAATGTAGATTCATGAAACAGATACATGAAAATAAAATGACAGAGAAGCGCAAAAGTTCTCTTTAGAGTTTTCTGTGGACAGCGGACAGTATGAGGAAGGGATAATTAATGGTAATAACTGCCCTCTCGAGCTGGGAGGAGCTGATATTAGCTATATACCCAGCTCAAAGCTAATGTATTTACAAGGCTCAGAAGTCCATCTAAGCACATTTTATACCTGCTGACACCTCAGTTGTGTTTGTCCACAGTTGGGTCTATGGGGAAGGTCCTCTGCAAAGTTAATAAAGAACCTTGCCCAACTCCTACACTGATCGATTTTAAGCTTAAGATGCTCACTTCTTTTTCCTGAAGGGGAGTCTTTTCAGTGTTCTCATTTAATTTCAGCTGCATTAATTTTGCTGCAGCATCTAATGTTTCATTGAGTGACTGATCGAGGAGAGCTTAAGAGTTCTTCAGGGGCAGCTTATTGCAGGCTCAGGGAGTTCATTGACCATCACCAGCACAATATATCTAAACGAGATTTGGCCAGAAGGCGAGCTGAGGAAAAATGTTCATTGAAGAGGCTGCTCAAAAAACAAACTGTGAGAAAGAACTTTTGGAGTCTGGTCTATTCCTTTTCATGGTAGTTGGTCAATAAATGTATGCTCCTTTTTCCAAAGTGCCAATGGGAAATCTAAAAGTCTTTAGAGACCCATTTGTTTAGGTTTTCTGGTTTAATAACCGATATCAAGGCCAAAATTTCAGTGTTTTCCCAGCAATTATTGTTTACAAATGTGTATTACAAAAAGAAAAGAAAAATGTATCTCAGCATCAGACAGTATGGTTTAGGCAATTGCAATCCTTTTGCAGTGTTTATTTACATCCTACCAAAGTCTATTCAAATGTGATTGGTCAATAGAAATCAGGGCACAGAAGCCAGAAAGCTTACAATACAAAATATATTTTCCCTTGCCTAGATGCTATGTCTTCCAATGTGAAGATTTGTAGCTTGCCTGTGCCTTTTACATAATTTAAGTC